ATGCTTGTCTGATGGGGTTAGGTGGTGTACTCATGCAAAATAGTAAGGTGGTTGCTTATGCGTCGAGGCAATTGAGGACTCATGAAAAGAATTATCCTATGCATGATTTAGAATTGGCTGCAGTTGTCCTTGTGTTGAAAATCTGGAGGCATTATCTTTATGGTTCTAGATTGGAAGTGTTTAGTGACCATAAGAGTTTGAAGTATCTTTTTTATCAGAAAGAGTTGAACATGAGGCAACGAAGGTGGTTAGAATTGCTAAAGGATTATGATTTCGGTTTGAATTATCATCCAAGAAAAGCTAATGTTGTGGCTGATGCTTTAAGCCAAAAGACTTTACACATGTCGACAATGATGGTTAAAGAGTTGGAGTTGATTGAGAAATTCCGAGATTTGAGTTTGGTTTGTGAAGTGACACCGCAGAGTGTTATATTGGGAATGTTAAAGATTAATAATGACTTTCTCAACAGTATCAGTAAGGCTCAAAAGCTAGATGTCAAGTTGGTGGATATGATGATGGGAATCAATCAATCTGAGAATGATGATTTCAAGATAGATGCGCAAGGTGTGTTGAGATTCCGAGATTGTATTTGCATTCCTGATGATGAAGAGATTAAGAAAGTGATTCTTGAGGAAACTCATAGAAGCAGTTTGAGTATTCATCCAGGAGCTACTAAAATGTATCAAGATTTGAAAGGTTTGTTTTGGTGGCCTGGTATGAAGCGTGATGTGGCACAGTTTGTGTATTCTTGTTTGACTTGTCAGAAGTCAAAGATTAAGCATCAGAAGCCTGTGGGGTTGATGCAACTGTTAGAGATTCCAGAATGGAAATAGGATAGCATTTCGATGGACTTTGTAACGGGATTACCTAGTACCCCGAGAGGACATGACTCGACATGGGTGATTGTTGATAGGCTTATGAAGTCGGCACATTTTATACCTATTAACATCACATATTCGATTTCGAAGTTGGTAGAGATTTACATCAGAGTAATTGTGAAGTTGCATGATGTTCCTTTGTGTATTGTGTCGGATAGAGATCCGAGGTTTACTTCTGATTTCTGGAAAAGTTTACAAGAGGCGTTGGGATCTAAGTTGAGGTTGAGTTCGTTGTATCATCCTCAGACGGATGGTCAGACCGAGAGGATGATTCAGTCATTGGAGGATTTGTTGAGAGCATGTGTTCTTGAGCAGGGAGGTTCATGGGATACTTATCTTCCGTTGATTGAGTTCACTTACAATAACAGTTACCATTCGAGTATTGGGATGGAACCTTTTGAGGTGTTGTATGGTCGAAGGTGTAGGACTCTGTTGTATTGGCATGAATCAGGTGAAATTATGGTATTTGGACCTGAGATTGTTCGAGATACTACTGAGAAAGTGAAGCTTATCCAAGAGAAGATGAAGGTTTCTCAAAGTAGACGAAAAAGTTACCATGACAAGTGAAGGAAAGATTTGGAATTCCAAGCTGGTGATCACGTGTTTTTGAGAGTCACGCCTATGACTTGTGTTGGGCGAGCTCTGAAGTCTAAGAAGCTCACTCCTTGTTTTATTGGTCCGTATCAGATATCGGATCGAGTTCGGAAAGTTGCTTACCGAGTGGCGTTACCGCCAAATCTTGCTAATTTGCACGATGTGTTTCATGTATCGCAACTCCGGAAGTACATTACCGGTCCGTCTCATGTGATTCTGATGGACGATGTGGAAGTACGGGATAATCTTATGGTGGAGACGATGCATGTGCGAGTCGCGGATCGTGAGATAAAGATTCTTAGAGGAAAGGAGATTGCATTGGTGAAAGTTGTCTGGTTAGGAGCTGCTGGAGAAAGTATGACTTGGGAGTTGGAGAGCAAGATGCGAGACTCATATCCCGAGTTATTTGAACCAGGTAAACTTTTATTTTCGAGGACGAAAATATTCTAAGTGGGGGAGAGTTGTAACGCCCCGATATTTGATTATTTATTTAATTAAATATTTTTGAATATTTTATATTAATTCGAATTTTTATCGTCGAAGTCAGAATTATTTTATTTGGTGGCATGATAAATAATCAGATTTAATTAGGTGGAATTAAGTTGATGTATTATTTTATTATTAAGTTAAATATGAGATTGGGCTTAATTTGTGGTGTTGTGAAGTAATAGGGGGGTATGTCACTTAGGCCCATTTAGATTTATTAAGTAATGTAATAATATGTTATATAGAAATAGAGTTAGGGAATAAGAGAGTTAGTGTTATCAGGAAAAAAAAAGGAAAAAGAGAAGAGAAAGAAGAATAGGGTTTTGGAGAGGAGAAGAAGAACAAGAGGAGGTTGCCACTAGTGCCAAATCCCAGAAATCCCATCTTTGTTTCTTAGAGTTGCACTCAATTAAAGGTAAGGGTGGGATTCTTGCTAAATAAATGGGAGTATGATGAATTTTATTTGGGGTTTAGGGTATTAGTTTCTCTACTATGTTGTGCAAAAAGATTGTTTGTGTTACTATTAAAATTGACAATTGATTTGAGTTGTGTTGTTGTTTGTTGTATTTGAACTGTGTTCGGTTAATGCTAAACTAGGATAAATGAGTGAATTGAAACAAGAATGAACAAGAACTAGGCATATGTGAAAAATGAGGCAAAACTGGTTTTTTACCTCCAGGCCTTCTGACACGGTCGTGTCAGCTGCCGCTGCCTCCCGTGTCAGCCCCTGTGCCTCACGTTTTTCCCTTTTCCTCTTCTGACACGGTCGTGTCAGCTACTGTGGCAAAAATTTCTGAACTTAGATTTATGCGATTTTTCGGACCCAATTCGTCCTGTTTGATTCTTATGCAAGCCAAAACATAAAATAGGCTGATAGGGATTAAAACATAAATTAGTTGAAGGAAGAAATGATTAAGTAACTATTAATTTCTTATGTATAACCATTAATCAATAGCCGAATTAGGCGTTATAATTACTTGTCCGGAATTTAACGAAATTTGACCGCGTAACTAAGTTTAATTAATAGGTAATTGTGGATATGTCCTTTTGTTCAAATTGTGTCGATTATACCGAATTTCCAGTACAGTAGGTCAAGTCGTTCCATCTGGTTTATGGACATGGTTAATTATAGGCCTTATGACTAATGTTGTGTTAATTTGTGTTGGTTGATGAATGTGTTGATGTTGCGAGATATCACTGGATATATGTGGAATTCGATATTGATAAGGTGATTATGAATCATTTATGTGAGTAGCCTTATGGTGTGAATCCTAGTGAATATATGAAGAACATATTGTTGCCATGAAAAGTTGTTGATTCAGTTGACATGTTGTGTGGTAGGCATTTGACCAATGTTGAACGGTGTGATTTGTTGTTATGTCAACCATTGTTATGTTGTTGTTGTTGTTGTGTTGTCGAGTTGTATTTGTTTATATCGTTGCATAGAATAGCATAACATTAAAGTTGACCTGGATTGGCATGTTCTAAGTTGGAGCAAATGCTCACCATGTTGGCCTTTATTGGCAAGATTTTATGTTGAGGGCTTATGCCTTATGCCTCGGGATTACTGGAAATTTCTAAGTTGGGAGTTCTGCTCCAATGGTACCACTTGCATTTGTACAGTTGAGTCGCATTTGGAGTCATTGATTTGTTGCTTGTTTAAGGCGTTGTTTATGCCTGGTGATGTTATAAGTTGAATTGATGTGTTGGTAAATTATGTTGCTTTATGTTGTTGTATGAAGTGGTGATTCTTTTTATTCTTTACCTAATATATTGTTTATCATGACCCTATTTATGTAGTTTGATATCTCACCCCTTCTGTTTGAATATTGCCCTTTGTTGGTAACGTGCAGGTAACCAAGATGAGTAGCCGATAGCATTGTTAGTTTGAGTTTGGTGTCATTTGCTCTGATATGTAGCACTCAGGGGAAATGAACGCTTGTCTGTTTTGTTGTTTAATTATTGAATCTTATGTTGTTATTTAAGGAGTTTTTCGTATTGATGTTTTGTCATGATTCAAGAGATGCTATATCTGAGAATTATTATGAATCCGCTGCGTGATTAATCGAAGTTTGGTTTATGTTGTGAAGACTATATTCTTGAATTGTGTTCATTCCACTTCTCTAAGTGTTATGTATCTATTCTAAAAGAATGATAAGTTTATGTGTTTCTATTGAATATGTGACATCCTGATTATATTTGAAATTTTTATACTCTGATTTTTCGATTAATTACTTGGGGTAGAATTGGGGTGTTACATTCCACGTACATAAATTATAGATTTATATGTATTACAAAATTATCCAGATCAATTAGCATAGTTAGCTAACAAGTTAGCAATATCATTGATAGGCTTTTGGTCTCCTCTATAAAAGATCATGATGTCATCAGCATAGATAGTATGGGAAGACACATAACAATTTCTAGATCCTCTGATCAATTTAATTTGGTTGTTATCAACCAATTTGGAGATCCTTTTACTCAAAACTTCTTCTGCAAGACAAAAAAGAATAGGAGTAGAGGGTCTCCTTGTCTGACACCATTAAAGCAGTTAAAAAACCCAACACGTTTGTCATTGAAACCAATAAAAAGAAAATAAAATTTAATAATAACCATAATCCAATTGCAAAACTTACAACTAAAACCAAAGCACTCAAGGATTCTAATGATGAAGGGTTAGCTAAGGGTGTCAAAAGCTTTAGAAATGACAACATTACCAATATGTGTTAGAGTTTGAACCAATTACCTCTGATAGAGAATAAATACGTGTTTTATCTTTATGAAAAATGAAGATGAGTTTTTAAAAATGCTACATAAGAATATATTTGTTTGATAAAATTTAAATAATATAGAAAATCAAGTGTTCATGCAAGAATCCACAATTCAGATTTAATATATTATAAATAGATGATTATTGATGTTATACAAACTAAAAACATACATAATAATTATAAAGCACTCACAAACACATTATTATTATTCAAACAAAACAAACTCATTAAAAACACACATAATAAATTTATCCCAATAAAACAAGTCAAACTAAATAGTAGGAGGAATGAGATTTGTGTTTTCTGTGGCCTTAGATATAAAAAGCTTTTGAAACTTAGAGTCCACATTGAAAGACACTTCTTGCACCAAAGGTGATAAGGCTCCCCAAACTGATGTCTTGCCAGCTAACTCTTCAAACAAAGGCCTGTAATATATTTACAATTTTTTGTTAGTTCAATTTTTTATGATCACGAATCCCTTGACTGCATGAATGCATGCAGTTTGTAACCATGCAAATATGTTTTCTAAAAACTCAAAAATAACTTACTTGGTTGTTGTCACAATTGAATAGTTCTCCATTCCTTCATCACCTGCAATTTGAGCAACTACAAAAAAATGTGGCACAACAACCAAATGACCAGCCTTAACTTGAGAATCCAATACACGTTTTCCACTCAATCCTACAATTTCAATTTTTCCACTTCCTCTAGCTATGTAAATTAACTGAATCCCAGGGGTAATTAAATTTGATGGCGCCTTAATAGCATTAGGTTCAAGTTTAACTCTAATCACACTCAACCCAACATCCTTAATAAAAGGAAAATCTTTCTCAGTTAAGGTTGTCACTAATCCCCCATTTTGGACCTCAGTTTCTGGAACTTTAGTATCAATGTCATAAATAAAGTCTTTAGTTAGGTCCAATTGTGGCTTAGGCATTTGTTGGCCTTTTTCTAACTTGATTATCACAACCCCCTTTTGGCTTTGTGTTAACTTAGTCACCTCATCTTTATTAAAATTGTATACTTTGCTTATTAATTCACTAGAGAAACTTCCTAAAAGTCCTTGAAGACCAGTTAAGAAAAAATAAGTGAATTGTCCTGGAACATGAGCTGTTGAAGTTTCACCAAGAAATATAATATTAAGGTTTGAGTGACCATCATTGAACCACCATGAAATAGCTCCAATAGGCACAGGTATGACATCTCCTTGTTTAAGTTTCAAAACAACTTCTTTTCCAGTTTTGGGGAGCACCATTCCAACTACACCATCAGTCCCTGCATTTGAGAAAATTTAATCCAATATTATTTTTATTAGATTCTCAATTTTTTTTAAAGTTTAGTATTATACAGTTTTCCATTTTTTGAATTTTTTATTTTATTTTCTCAACAATACTTTAAAGATATAAAATATAAAATAATAAGATTTTATTTTCATATATATTGCTAACTAATTATAACTGAGTGACTTGTAAGTTGATTATCCAACTTGAGACATAAATAGAATTGAGTTCCAAATTTTTCGGATGAAGAGTTTTATGAACAAAATTAAAAATCGATGACTATACTTGTTAACTTAGAAATAAGTAGATTAAAAAGTGGTTGAGAGATTTTTTTTTGTATAAATATTTTGCAGATACACAATATGCAATATTGTTCAATGATGACTAATCTGTTGAGCACATAATGTTAGCTCTCTTCTTTAATTAGATTTATTTTTATCCAAAAATTAAAATTAAAATTTTTGATCATTTGTTGAAGTTTTTTTAAAATAATACTATATCTTAGCAATTAAATTGTGTTGGTTGATGCTCCATCGAGTATTGAATAGTTTTTTATAAGGTTGGTAAATTGGGTGGCACGTTCTATTTAGACCTGTCTCGTTTAAATTTGTTTAAAAAGTGGAGTGGGATGAATTAACTTAAGCGTTTAAGTTTAAAAGTCAAATTTGTCTTATTTACTAACGAATTGACGGATTGACGGACCGATCCGTTAAACTTTTTAAAATTTTTTTTAATTTAATTTATTATATAATTTACAAAAAAAAATTGTTATAAAAAAAGAGGACAAAAAATGATTTTTAACAACGCATAATAGAACTTTTGAACAATTGAAATGAACTTCGAAACCAAAATATAAATAACATATCGGTCAAAAATAGAAAATAAAATAAAAAAGAGTGATCTATATTAATAAGTGTTAACTTATACTTTTGAAAAGATAATATTTTGTACACAAATAAACTCTATTTACAAAGGACCACATTAATGTTTTAGAACACATTATTTTTGTCAAAAAAAAATATCATTGATACATACGTAACAATTTGCTGCCAGTAAAAGACCATTAATCAATCTATTGGAGAGAATTATGCATATTAAGGTAAATAATCAATCTAATATCCAAACATTAATAAGTAAAAATGTAAAAACTTCAAAGGCATAGTCATATCAAAATCAGAAAAATAATCAAGGGTTATTGTGAAGTTTGTCTTGAAATCAAGATAGATTAAATATAATATACTAGAACTACAATAAATCTAAAATTCGTTTGTAAATGTGTTATGTCTACAAAGTTCATTGATGTATTTAAGTATTTGTCTCACTATTCATGTAATATCAAAAATAGAAAGATTAAATTGAAATTTACCTAAATGTGTACTATGGAGAGGAAGGAAACAAAATAGACGGGTGGCTTGGATGATCGAATAGAACGACAATGGAATGAAGGAATAATCACAACAATAGATGAAACAAATGGAAAGAACCGTAATTTCGGAAGAATGAAATAAGATTATATTTATATAAAAAGAGAGAATGTTCAATTTTTATCATTAAAGAGAGAAAAAATTAGTCAATTGACCTCCACGATGTAGTGTCAAATTTTCATTTTAAGTAAAAATAATTGACATGGAACCCGCGAGCAAAATCCATTTCGGAACACTCTGCCCCCGCACCATTTTTAAGCGGGTAAGGCGTGACAAACTGATTTAAGACATTGAGCCGAAAACTTTGACCTAACCCGTCAAAAATGATGGGTCAAATGGACCAGACCGGATCGACGAGTCCAATCTATTTTACTGTTGGAAATAATTTATATTTTCGGAATATCTTTTTATATCTTTGTTAGAGGATATTTTAGTATTTTTATTATACCCTAATTTTGTGTATAAATAGTCTAGTAGTAGGTAAGTCAATGTAATTCATTGTAAATTCATTATTCCTTATTCTGTAGTCGTCACTAAATATATTCCTTTTGTCTTTCATCTCTCCTTGTGCACCAACAATTGGTATCAGATCCCCAGTTCGAAATCCACTGGAAACACGAGTGAACAGTGAGGTTGTAATTTTTTCTGATTTTGTAAACACTGTTTTTATTGAGTTTTTGCGTAAATTGCACAAGGTTGAAGATGAACGGAAACGGCGGTGATATCAATTCCAAGCTTCAAGTATTTGATAGCAAAAATTGGAATTGTTGGAAGATCCAGATGTGTATGCTGTTTGGTTTTCAAGGTGTGTTAGATCTTGTCACCGATGGCTATTCTCCCTTAGAAGCAGACGCAACAGAGGCACAAAAGATAACGCAAAATATGCTAAGAAAGAAAGATCAAAAGACATTGTTCTACATCCATCAATGCGTGGATGTGAACATGTTTGAGAAGATTGCTGACTCTGAAACAGCAAAGGCTGCATGGAACACACTGGTCAGATGTTATAGTGGTGACGGATCAGTGAAAAAGGTGAAGCTTCAGTCTCTCAAAGAAATATGAGAATCTCAACATGAAGGACAACGACAAGGTTTCTGAGTACATCTCTAGAGTGATTCTTATCACTAATGAGATGAAAGCTTGTGGAGAAACTCTTCCTGAACAAGTAATCATTGAGAAGATATTGAGATCTTTAACTTCTCAGTTTGATTACATTGTGGTAGAAATTGAACAATCCAAAGATTTGAGCACCATGAGAGTTGAAAAGCTGCACAACAGTCTAGAGGCACATGAGTTGTGTATGACTGAGAGAACTTCTGAGACGGAAGTAGAGCAGCAGGGTCTGAAAGTAACTTCTGATAAGAAGTATCAGAAGTAGACTTGGTTAGAAGCCAGGAAGAAAACTAATAATGGTCAAAGGTCCGAAGCTTCAAACTCTGATAGGCAGAAGAATGTCCAGAAGGGAAAGGAGAAGTCTGACAAGAAGAATGTTCAGTGTTATTGTTGCAAGAACTTTGGTCACTATGCCAAAGATTGCTGGTCAAACAAAGAAAGGAAGTCAAAAGAAGCAAATATAGCTAGAGGAAAGTTTGATGATGAACATGTGCTATTGTTGGCTTCTGAACCTCATAATATGAATTCATCAGAATGGTGGTATATGGACACGGGGTGTCCAAACCATCTTACTGTAAACAAGAAATGGTTGGTTGATTTTGACTCTGGGAAGAGTACAAAGATCAAACGTGCTGATGATAAATACCTCAATGAAGAAGGTATGGGACATGTCAGAATCATTCTAAACAATGGGAAAGCAGCAGCGATCCAGAATGCATGGTATGTACCTGGCATGAAAAGTAATCTGATGAGTGTGAGACAACTGATTGAGAAAGGTTTTTCAGTTACCATGAAGGGAAATATTATGAAGTTGTATGACTGTCTCAATTACCATGAAGGGAAATATTCTGAAGTTGTATGATTGTAATCAGAAGCTGGTTATGGAGTCAGAACAGGGAAGGAACTGAATATTCAAGGTGAATGTTAGAACTACAGACTCTGAATGTCTTAGTGCAACAAGTTTTGTCAAGGAGAGTGAGCTGTGGCACAGAAGATTTGATCATCTGAATTTCAAAAGCTTGGAGCATCTGAAATCAAAGAAGCTGATACATGGAATTCCTACAATCAAGAAGCTTGAGAAGTCATGCAAGGTGTGCATGGAAGGGAAGCAGCCAAGATTACCATTTGCATCATAAGTAGCTCCAAGAGAAAAGCATTCCTTGGGAGTAGTGCATTCTGATATATGCGGTCCATTTCCAATAACATCAACTGGAGGGAATAAACACTTTGTGTCATTTGTTGATGAGTTCATCAGAATGACATGCGTATCTCTCATAAAGTTCAAACACAAGGTGTTTGCTGAATTCAAGAAGTTTATACTGAAGGTTGAGAATCAGAGTGGTCAGACTCTAAATATTCTTAGAATTGATGGTGGTGGTGAGTATAACTCTACAAAATTCAGAAGGTTCTGTGAGGAGAATGGAATTGAACATGAGGTTACTGCTCCCTATACTACTCAACATAATGGTCTTGATGAAAGAAAAACCCATACTTTTCTTGATATGGTGAGAAGCATGCTGAAAGAGAAGAAGTTTCCTCATACTTTGTGGGGAGAAGTTATTGCCACTGCATGTTATATGCTCAATAGAAGCCCAACGAAGAAGCCGGAGGAAATAGTTCCTATTCAAAAGTGGACAGGAGATAAGCAAAGTATTAGTCATCTAAAGGTGTTTGGTTCTGTATGTTACAAACATGTCCCAAAAGCCAGAAGACAGAAGTTGGATGATAGAAGTAAAGTAATGTTACTGGTGGGGTACCATAGTACAGGTTCATATAAACTTTATTGTCCAGAAAATAACAAAGTTGAGTTCAGCAGATACGTCATTGTAAAAGAATCAGAAGTCTGAAATTGGGAAAGGTCTCATCCTGACTCTGATGAGAGAACTCCTGAAGAAAAGTTAGAAACATATGTTTCTGAAGCTGGTAAAGACTCTGACTCTGAAGAAGATACAAAAGGTGAAGATGATTGTGACTCTAACTTCGATGGTGATTCAGACTCTGGAAATTTTCAAGACTCTGAAGACAGGCAAGGTTTTGGAGAAAGTCCAATTTCTGAAGTAAGAGCTTCTGAAAGGGAAATTTCTGGTGTCTGAGGTTCTGAAGTTCAAATTCAGAGGCAACAAAGAGTCAGAAGCATCCTAAGAAGATTTGCAGAGTTTGACATGTTATAAGACGTTGAATTAGACTCCGAAGGAGAAGTTATTAAATGTGCAATGTTAGTAGACTCTGAATCCATGAGTACTGAAGATGCTCTTAAGCAGTAAGTCTGGTTGTAGGCCATGAAAGAAGAACTTGATGCTATAAAGAGAAACAAGACTTGGAAGCTGACAGAACTTCCAAAAGGCAAGAAAGCCATCATCGTCAGATGAGTTTTCAAGAAGAAGCTAAAGCCAGATGGATCAATTGGCAAACACAAAACAATATTAATAGCAAGAGGCTCTCTACAGAAGCTTGGGCTAGATTACTCTGAAGTGTTTGTACCTGTAGCGAGACATGAAACAATCAGACTAGTCATTAAAATAGCTGCTAACAGGAATTGGCCTCTGATGCATTTAGATGTAAAATATGCATTTCTGAGTGGTCCATTATAATAAGAGGTATATGTGTCACAACCTCCCGGATTTGAGATAACGAATCAGGAAGGGATGGTGTTCAAGTTACACAAATCTTTGTATGGATTGAAGCAAGCGCCCAAAGCCTAGAATTTGAAGATTGATTCATTTTTCAAGGGACTGGGGTTTCAGAAGTGTGAGATGGAGTATGGTGTTTATGTTCAACACACTTTAGAAGGTAATATAATTCTGGTATGTTTGTATGTTGATGACATACTGCTAACAGGAAGTTACGAACAAGAGATAGCTGAGTTCAAGAAGGTTCTGATGAATGAGTTTGAAATGACAGATCTTGAGATAATGAGTTTCTTTCTAGGGATACAGTTTATGTACTCTGAGAAAGGAATCATTTTGCATCAGATGAAGTATGAATTTGAGCTTCTAAAGAGATTTGAGCTAGAGAATTGCAAAGTTGCTATCACACCTGCTGATACGAATCAAAAGTCTGACTCTGACTCTGATTCTGGGTACTTATTCAAATTTCTGGGAGGTCCTATTTCTTGGTGTTTCAAGAAGCAACCTGTTATTGCACTGTCAACAAGTGAAGCTGAATATATTGCAGGAGCTATGACTGCATGTCAAGTTGTGTGGACTCTGAACTTGCTGCAAGATCTGAAGATTGAAATAGACAAACCTCTGAAGCTGATGATTGATAACAAGTCTGCAATCAATCTTGCCAAGAACCCAGTGTTGCATGAGAGAAGCAAGTATATTGAGATCAAATATCACTTTCTGAGGAATCAAGTTCATAGTGGAATATTAGAAGTTGTACACTGTAGCACCCAAAAGCTGCTGGCAGATGTTCTAACAAAGGCTATTAAGACTGATCAATTTCTTCGTTTGATGGATGAAATTGGTGTTGTCAGTTTTGTGTAAATATAAATTAAGGGATGTGTTGGAAATAATTTATATTTTAGGAATATCTTTTTATATCTTTTTTTTATCTTTGTTAGAGGGTGTTTTAGTATTTTATTATATCCTAATTTTGTGTATAAATAGCCTAGTAGTAGGTAGGTCAATGTAATTCATTATAAATTCATTATTCTTTATTCTGTTACCGTCATTAAATATATTTTTTTTTATATTTCATCTCTCCTTGTACACCAATATTTACCACCTTTAATTATTTATAATAGGTTGAAAAGGAGAAATAATTGAACTAATTTGAACCAGTTAAAGTTAAAGGTTAAAAAAAAATTGATTCATATTTGTATTGTAGCCTTTAGTTTCCTTTTATTGTCTAATATATTAAAAAAAAATTAAATGATTGTAATATTATATGTAAATTATGGTAAAACTTACTAAAAAATAGTCGATATGATAAAAGTAAATATTTATGATATAGATTGTTTCACATTTTGATTTTACTTTTTAACATGTGAGCTGTTATAATGTATTGTTTTAAAATATATGAGATAAAAAAATAAATTTAAATTCATTTTTATTTATTATTTTGGCTTTTAAATGTGTTTTAGTTAGTTTATTTAATTTCAAATGGGTTTCTAACTAGATAATTTGATCTACTATATATATATATATAAATTTAAAATTAAAATGAGTATTAAATTTTAAAACGAACAATAATCATATCAATTATATTAAATGATTGTATAAAAAAAGAGAGATGTGAGATGGAAAAAGAAAAAAAGTGAAATATTTTGACATTTATAAATAAGGATTTTGTCTATCAGATAAAGGTAATAATTGATTGAAAAATAAAATAGGTATTATGTTGACAGTGACTCTCAGATGGTAAGTTAATTGTCTACACGGCTATTACGTATTATTCAATTTAATACAGTATAAAATACATTTAGATATACATGTAAATTTAAAATGAGTTACTTAATTGAAAATAAACAATGATGATATTAACTCAAATAATGTTAATTAAAAATAAAATAGACAGTATGATGATAGTGACTCGTGAGATGAAAAATTAATTGTTTGCACGACTATTAATTATTATCTAATTTGATACGCTATAAAATATGTTTAGATACACATGTAAATTTGCAATGAATTATTTAATTATAAAATGAACAATGATCATATAAATTCAAATTAATATTGATTAAAAATAAAAAATATATTATGTTGATAGGAGCCGTGAGATAGAAAGTTAATAATATACAAGATTATTGAGTATTATTTAATTTGATATTATATAAAATGTATTTAGATATGTATTTATATGGAGAATGAAAAAAATTTGATATTTGAAAATAAAAATTTTATCTTTCAAATAAATATAATTTTTATAACTATAAAATAATTGTGTTTTTTTATTGAGATTAAATTTTGTATTTTGAAAATTCAAAATTGTTTTATATTTTTTCTCTTCATTCTATTTTAAAGGGGTTAATTTTTTATTTATTTATGTTTTAAAAAAATAAAAAATAAAAGAGAAAATGGAGATAGGAAATTAAAATGAAAGTGTGAAAGTATGGAAAAATGTGAACTTTTTTTTAAATCTACTATCTATCTATTAAAATTCAATTGCATTAACTTCTTAATTTTTTCTTTCATCACAAATTTTTTACACTAAGAACTAATCAAATAGCCTTTACTTTTTTCTTTGTCATATGATATGTCACATTCATTTTTCAACTTTTATCAATTAAATTATAATTAAATATTACATATATTAATTCTCTCTCTTAAAATTTCAAATTTCTTTTATATATTTTTTTCATACTTTTTTACTTTCATTTTAATTTTTTTCTCTCTATTTATTTATTATCACTAAAAATATTAATAATCTATCCTTTTATTTTAATACAATTAAAAATTTATTTGTCTCTCTTAACATAATATCTATTTTATTTAAATTAATTATTGGCTTAATTTGTGAAACAAACTCTTTATTTTTAAATATTAATTTTTTTCCCCTCCGCGGGTTTCGGTTCTCATTCAACACATCAACTCACAACTTCCTTGCAACTTCATCCTTCTTCTCTACCATAGACTCCACTGTAGCACTCGTGCTTCCTTCAACAAATTCGTCCCTAATTTGTGGTGTTATTTTCTTCAACAATTTCGTCCCTAATTTGTGGTGTTATTTTCTTCTCTACTTATTCTAATTTTTTGACTATTTCTGCATCATCGCATTCATCTACTTTAGTACTCAATCAGTGTGATTCATCTAATTCAATATTCAATCGGTGCAATTTTGCATTCTCCAATAATGAAAGCACTGGTTTCTTCGGTTGCCTTCTCCCCATCAAACTCTATCAGATAGTCTTTAATATAGTGTAAATATATTATCATAGGACAATTCTAAATTTTATTAATATCTATATTATTTGATATATATATATATATATATATATATATATATATATATATATATATATATATATATATATATATATATATATATATATATATATATATATATATATATATATATATATATATATATATATATATATATATATTATAAATTATTATTTAGATTTATATCTTAAATGTTAGTAAAATATACCTTATAAAAACAAAGTTTTAAAATATAAAACAAAACTAAGTTTTAGAAGAAAAAAAGGATTACATTATCAAAAGTTAAAAATAACGTGCAATTAATATAGTGATAGAGGAATTTTGTATACCTGTAATTATTAAAATTTTGTTTGAACAAGTTATTGAAGATAAGAATAAAAAAAATCAATTTTTGGCATTGGAAAAATAAGATAAGATAGATTATAAAACAATAATACTACTTCAAAAAGATAAGATAAGACTATTATAATTCTCCATTTAAATGAAAAGCTTGTCGGATTATAGATCAAATGAATCTAATAATGAATATTATTGTCCTAGAGAGAGAGAGAAAAAGTAGTTAATGATTAGTAATTATCTAACCTTGAACAACATAACCAACTTTAGATGAATCTGCATAATGAGGAAGAGCAAAGCCTCGTGGTTGAAGAACAAGTTGACCGGCACCAACATTTGTTTGAGCCAAAACTTGAACTTGAGAGCTTGACCAAATATAGTAACCACCACCATCTCCTTCAAGCATTGGTTGTGCTCTCTTTGGTGTTAGGTCTAACTCCATTGAATTCTTCTCCTCTTTACTCATCAAATAATAAATATTTTAATTATAAAAAATTTAATTAAAATATATAAGTGATATAAAATAGTTTTATACTGTCTATAAATTATAACCGATAAATTTATATAAATTTTTTTTTTTAAATCACATATAAAATATTACAATAAATAATTATGATATATTCACTGTAAGTCATTAACCACTTGAATTTAATATCTTTCTTCCAAGTATTTTATTTATACACCTAGTGCTTGAAGTTTAAATGTCAATTAATTATTCCGTTAATCCAACTCATTTATTATACATAAAAGAAAAAATATTAATTAATTTTTTTTGTCTAAAAAGGTATTTGTTTTTAGAAAATTTATATTTTTTATATCAAATAATATATTTACAAATTAGAAAAATAATAGAAACTAAATTAACAAGTGATCTAAAAATAATGTTTGACCAATATCTATATCTTTCAACATAAACTCTAAATTACTAAAAAAAATTCCTTATAAATCAGAGTGTGAAAGTAAAAATAAATAAATTAACGAGCGATCCATTTTAATATACTCTTTTTTTTTTATAAAGCATGTTAATTTACTTTCAATATAGTAAATACAACTTAAGAGAAAATTAAATCTCAAAAGAAAATCATAATTATTAAAAGTCAACATACCTATGATGCTGGAGCTTCCACAACGCTTAATTAAGAAGCTAAGAAAAAGCAAAAATGGTTTGGGATCTATCAATGCGTAACTGAGTTTAAGACTTAGGTCTCTATATATAGAGTTCTAAATGAGTAAGTTATTTTATAAATGACTTTTAAAACAACAAGTTGTCATTTTCTTTTTTAATACTCTCTTCCCTCATTTTTTTAATAATTGTCTTATTTATATTTTTTCTATGTCTTAAAATAAATATATTTTTAGAATATTAATATAATATTTATTATTTTTTTCATTACTATATTTTTATTTATTAATTTTTATGTTTTTTAATTACTATATTAATTATAATAAATAATTTCTTTTTTAATAAATGATACTAATTTTATTATTAAAATTAATATATTTTAGATTTTTTTTAAAAGAGTTAAAAATTTAAATGAGATATTTATTATTATGAGACCGAGGGAGTATTTTAAATTCTATCTAGTTGAATAGTCTTATTAGCTGGAGTACTAATGCTTTGACTTTTGAGAGATTGCTATATCTTCCTCTCTTAAGTGTATTAAGAAAAATAGCTATCTTCCTCCCCAGGTACACACGTTAAAAAACCCACAAATAGAAATTTTGTATTGAAAAACTAAAGAAATCATTAATTTTAAATTTGTAATCAATTTAATAAACATTTTTCAAGAAACTTTTATTATATTTATCTCTTAATTTGTGTTTTTGGGCACAAGTTAGCATTACTCATATTTTAATACTTTATTTGTTTTGTAAAGATTAATTTATTTAGGATAAAATAATGTTATGAAATAAATAATCAATTTTAATTTTTAATTTATTTTATTTTTATTTTATTTTTCAATTAGTGAAATTTTTATTATTTTCAATACATGATCAAATGTATTATAGAAAATATTATTCTCTTTCTTATTTTTCTATAACATCATCAATTACTAATAAATAAGCAAGATGATGCCACGTATTTGATATGTATATATTTTGATTGTTTCTTGATCACTTATCACATTTATATATATTTTTATATAATTCTTGTGTATACATTCGTTCCTAATTATAAGATCCTTTTGAGTTTTTTCTAGTCCATTTTTAATGGATAACCACTACCTCGACCCTGGAATGTTGCGAAGATAAAACAATATTATAGCTAAAGCCCCTCACCCGCTGGAGACCTTTGCCGTCAAATATTCACCTTCAGTCGACGAAGGGAAAAAGCTCGACCACGTAGGCGAGTCGAGGTACGGACCCGACCTACCATCCAACAAAGGCATAATGTTGCTCACTTTGACGAACAACAGACGTGCCCGACAAGGACACCTCCGTCGAGCTCCGCTTTTGAAGTACCCCAACATGGCAGAACACCCAGCTCGCGATGGACAGTTCACGCCACAAGCGTAGGATCCCGACCGCGGTCGTATGCCCGCCCCGCGGATCCCTACTCCACGCCCTCGACATATTTTAAAGTGTGTCGAACCGACATTTGGGTCGAACGGATACCTCCACACGAACACGAACTTCGTGAAAAATTCATAACGACCACGACAATGGTCGGGCACATACATCAAATATTGTTACTCAAATAGTTATAAACAAAGCAATTATAATTCAAATAGTTATAAACAAATAAATTATAATATGCCGACCACAAGGGCCGACGTTGTTCAAAAGTACAGTTAGGAACAACGACCACAAAACTAAAAGAATGATAGCAGGCACGCAGGCCCTAAAATAACAGCGGGGACGCATGCCCTGAACAATAAATACAATCAAACTTCATCCTCCTCGTCGCTGCTGTCAGGGGGATAGAGGATCTTTCCGTCAATGACTTGGTTAAATGGGACCGCCCCCTCGACCACTATCTCGACCTCTGGGTTCAAGATCTTTAACTGCTCGACGACAGTGTTGAAGCCGTAGCCAAGGGTATCAATCATGTCCTGCTTGAGCACACAGATGCAAGCAATCGAATCCGCCCTGGTCGCCATGTTCCTCTCTATTTCAGTTTCATCCTCGGCCGGCGCGGTGATCCCCTCTAACCCCAAATTACGAGTGACTAGACGCTCGTTCTCCTTAGTGGCCGCCTCCAGCTAAGGTCTCAGCTCATTTAAATCCTTGAGAAGCTGAACTTGGGCCTCGAACTTTGACTCATGGTTGAGGATATCACACTTCAACTTCTCATTTTTGGCCTTCAACTTAGGGATTTTGGCGTAGGCCGTGTCGAGGGAAGCTTGAGCACTTGAGGACTTATCGTTGAGCGAAAGAGCCGTCTCGAGCACCCTTATCACAACGGCCATGTCCTCGGCCAAGTGCTTCCGGCGAACCTCCTTGTCAGTCAAGATTGCCTCTCTCTCTTCCTCGCGTACGCCGAGGGAGTTCTCCTCGCTAAAGAGGTTGTGGTTTAGATAGCAAGGAGGCAATACGAAAACCCCCGCGGGTGTTTTGTCACCCTCGGGCGTTACGCCCGCAGCGTTATCTACACGCTTCCTCTTAGCCACGGGCTCGTTGACGGGAATCTGGGTCGGATCAGTAGAGGAAGCAGGATTTTTAGATGAGGAAGGTGAACCACTGGCCCGACCAGCAGACATAACCTATTCCTGAAGCTGGGAGACTCTGTTTCGTGGCCCAGAAGTGGATGCGTTCTTGGGTTTCATCTTCAACAGATGCTCGGAAAGTGATGCCATTCGACCTGCAATAAAAAAAGAATCGTTAGTCGAGGTGGAAAATCAAAAACAGCACGAGCATGTCCCCGCATAAAGAGGAGTAAATTAACGGTTATGCCTCTTATTCAAAAGCCTCATGAATTCCCCATTCGAGGAGCACTCGAGCAAGGCCTTCGTGTTGATCAACCTATTGACTAAGAGATGCTCCCCCTCTTCATCGAACATCAGGTTGTTGTTCACGTCCATGCACTTCGCAGGGGAGAAACTTTTAACATAAGCCGACAGCTTCTCGTACGAAAGCTGGTCTTGGGCCTCCAAGTCCTCGGGTTTCACTATTCGGGCCTTTGTTCATAATGCTTCCACTGCCACTCGAGCGAGAATCTGGCCATAAGTCGAGTAATTGATCGTCCGTCCTCCACCTCTTCCACACGGGTGTAGAGAGAATCTATAGCCGCCTCCGTCAGGGGCTTCACGATGAAGTACCTCTCTTTAAAATTTCGGACGGACTCCAGATAAGGTCAGAAGAGTTTCCCGAACTGCTTGAAGGATACCCACATCTGCCCTCCTCGAACAGATTATCTTTGGAGGTGAAAGATGCAGAAAAAAAGGGGCAGCGTGATGCCTATCCTCAGGTACTGGAAGACGAGCTCAAACGCCCGCATAAACGCCAGCGTGTTCAGATGAAGTTGGGAAGGAGCCAACTGAAGCCACTGGAAAACGCCAACCTGGAAATCATTGAAGGGTAGGCGCATCCCCGCCTCTTTGAAAGCAAATTCGTACATGGGGAACCGTTTTCCCAGATACGTCGAGCATATCCTTCGGTCCTGATGGGGGATTTGGAGTATCCAATTGGCCGGGGCCCCTTCTGCGCGTTCCTCAGGGTAATTGAACGCATCTGTCGCATCCTGGGAAAAGCACGATCATTTATCCCGGGGCTCAGGAGCGACCCAAGCCAAATGATCCTCGTCGGTATGGGGCTCGTCTTCGTGATGGGCGGCCGAAATGTCTTCCCCGACTGAATACGCCATTATACCTGAAAAGCAAGGGAAATTAGTGAATTCAACATTATCAAATCCACCCTTCCACCACAGATCAAGTGAAAGGGCGACGAAATCGACCCAAGCCCTCGACACGCTAAAGCGGACCATTACACTACGAGGACATGTCGTCGGAGGGATCACTCGTCGAGCAAAAAGCCCGGGATACCCCCTATATCCTAGTAAGCCATCCCTTGTTACATCCATTGTCCGGGGAGGCCCTCGACACTATATATAATGAATGTTCATGAGCGCCCGACACATTCATGAGTGCTCGACACGGAATCCATGAACTCAAACAGACATTCATGAATATTCATCATAAAACTCATGAGTATTCATCCAATCAAGGCAAAATTTTGACATTTAATCCAGAAACGCTCAAGAAACATGGTGTTAAGAGGTTATAACTTACTTGGATGAAGAACTTGAAGAGAAAAAATGAAAAGTTGAGAGAATCATTTCACACCACGAGCAAAGAAAACTGAGAAGTTGAGAGAATCGCTTCACACCACGAGCAAAGAAAAGATTGAGAGGAAACTTGAGAAGATGACAAATGAGACCCAAGGGACCCCTTTTATAAGCGACCCACGCCCCAAGGGATCCCTCGTGAAGGGCCATCATCTCAT